AAAAAAATTCTCATTTCCAGAGAAGTAGTTGGGTTAATACTCATATCAATTAAACTGATTTGAAGAAACATTTCGAGAGGGAAAGTGCAGAAAAGGCTGCCACCTTATTTCTCCCATTTCTTCCCTCTTCTCTTCTTTACCATGATTAAATAGAATTGTATTCATATTTTGTATGGAAGCCTCATTTCTCAAATGTTGACAGAAAAACGAGTGTACGAACAGATGGATAATTTTAATGCCTTTTTAGAAATAGCTTGAAGTTGGGAGAAGAATGCTTTCGGCTTTTTATAACGACTTTGTAAATTCAAATTAAAATCGATATAACGGTTTTTTCAAATTTTTATTGGATTTTTAAGAATTGAACACAACGAAACTGTATGCGTGCGAAATTGAGTATTATGATTGTATTATTCAAAAGAAGACATCAGCAGCATCCTCTGCGAAAGACCTGATGTCGTGCCTGAACATCCATTTTTTCTCGTACCTATTAATCCCACCTTAAAATTCCAACCTCCTGAAAGGAATTTCATTTAGCTTCGGGATGCCACCAACAACACCAGATTCGATGCCGCATTCGTCTACTCCTCTCAAAATGCGGAAGAAACCTAGAAAGTGGAGACTTTACTAATGCTGTGATGGTTTTTTAGAAATTTTCTCTTTTTAGTAGATCACACCTCGGGATATGCCAAACTTGGATTTGTTTGCTGTTTCATCGCTTATTTTTATCACATACTCCGATTTATGAAACCCCTACTTCTTACTGGGATGTTTTTAGCTCCTCAATTTCGAGTCTTTGTTTGTAATTTCATATAGCGCAGTGTGTAAATAACTAAGTAGTTATTAATGTAAGTTTTCCCTACCATCCTCTCCCCAATCCTCATTCCAGCTGTTGGCTATGAGCCAGTACGGCATACCCTGATCAACACCCCATCCGATCATCTTTACAGCATGTCCTCCACCGAGTCTACCAGCTGTATGCTAAAAATCGCTGCATTTACAATAGGAAAAATATATATAGGAAAAAATATTTTTGTTTCGATTAGTACAGACTCCCTCCACTCTTCCTTTTGGCGTCTCAGGTGAAATATTCAAATTAACTTCACAATACATCTTAAAGAAATGTCATTCCCGTTTT